CCCACCCACCCGAAAACCGCGGTCGACACCCCCTGGAAGACGCCGAACGTACGTACGGAAGTCCGTCCGTCCGGCCCGTCCGGCCCCCGGGGTCTCGTACGTACGGTCGTATGGGAGTACGTACGGCCGTATACGTACGGGCGTATACACAGCAGCAAAGGCTTCGTGGGCCTTTACGATCCTCCCAAAGGCCTTCCGGATTGCCCCTTTGATGTGTGGCAGGATTAAGATCGGCACCTGCAGCGCTTTTACCCAAAAGTACCTTTGCTTTTGAGCCTCATTCCAATCATACAGTTCATTTTCATTCATCCAGTTTTTGAATCGAACCGTGCATTTCCTTCCGTCGAGATCAATAATATTCGAACCTTTTCGTATCATCCACGTGGCGATGGCTTTGGAACTCGCCACGTATGTTACCAGGTTTTTGCCATCACACCGAAACACTCCTCTCTTCGGCAAGCTGTCAATATCCTATGCATTTGCCCATCCCTCTTCATACATGCGAACCAAGCGATTTTTCACTGAGGGTGGAAGTGCCGAGGCATCATTTTCAAACTAAACCGAGACAGCGTGTTCAGACAGCCATTCTACCTGAATTTCGTAAAATTTGCTATCTACAATCACTCTCACGAAGTCTTGGCCAGAATCGGCAATGCGTGGTACAAACTCGTTTGGCAGTATCCCTTTTGCATAACAGTCCTCAATCACTCCCCTTATTCTAATTTTTTCGGCACCAGACACTGGAATCTCGTTCGGGGGTGGAGGATCTGCCATTTCCACTCCGGGAACTAGCTGGTGAGCAGAGATACTAATGTGGGATAGCAGTTATTCAGATAAATGTGTGCGAGAAAAGCATGCATTTGGTTCCGACGTCAACCCCTAGTACTTGGACCGCGTTGTACTTTTTCTTCCTGCCGACAGCGGCTCATGCTTATCCCAGATTACTCCTATCCGTCCCTGCCGGTTAAACCGCCTTCGTATGGTGTGTGGGCAGCGTATACATGTTTCTTAGTATGTGTCCCACCCCTGAAGAGCACCGACAAGTGATCAATCTTCAGGCCTTGCTGAAGTCTCTGGTCTTGCTTCTTGAATCTTGATTTCTCTGTATGATGTTAAGTTGGATTTCACCCTGCTTTCTGAGGTGATTTAGAGCTCAGAGGACGAGCCCGGTGGGAAGGGAGATAAGAGATGGGGGAAGTAACACGTCGTTTTCCCACTATGCATGTACTTTCATTTTGATCTCTTCCTATCCCCAGGTGACCTCTCTACCCCCACCACAGAGCGAGCAAGGGTTAACTCATGTATCACGAAGGATTACCTCAAAGATACCGTCTTCGGGTTGCCGCCCTCTGCCGCATGTGGATTCTCCTTCCTGGAGTTATCCGCCGTTTTCGCCGTGCAGTGACTCCGCCTAACCGTTTCTCTCTTACTCCCCCTTCCCCCTAATGGGGAGACGCCCTCTCGGGCTACGGGCCTTAGTCAGTCCATCTTGTGTCATCTACAACCTCTGTTATGCGTGTCCTGCCCTGGCCAGCTATGGTGAGAAAGGGGCTGGTAAAACCCTATTTTGTCACTGGTTGCAATTCAAAATGCCCGCTCTCGTGGATAAGCGCGAGAAATAGCGCTAGGATTAGCGCTGCCCCTAGCGCTATCGGCCCTTCCCCGCCACCGCCCCTGTCTCCTCACTTAGAAGAACTTAGAAAATGAGACTTTAGAAAATAATTGGAAGAACTGGAAAATAGTTGGGGAAAGCCTGCTCTGACTGTAACACCAAACCAGTTGTCCTTAATCTGCAGACGCCATGAGCCGAGCGTCTCCCCGCCCATTTTTGCTGGGAACAGCAACCCTTATGCAAGAAGATACCTAGGCGAGTACCAAGATGATGTGACTGGATGGCGCCTGCCAGCGTTGATTGCTCTGGAGGCCAGCTGATTCTCTTCTCCTTCTTCGACCCTTTTTTCTGGTCAGGATACCGGGAGGAGCCACTGGGGGGCAACAGTGGGGCCTCCTTCCGTCACCATCGGTCCACTTAAAAAAAGGCAGGAAAAACAAAGTAAAAGCAGATCGGGTTTTGAAGGGTTGTGTCATAGACACATTTCCAAGGACCATGGGTGGCGGGCAAATGGGTCCGGTAACTCTTCTGTGGGCCTCATTGCAACACTTGAATCTATCAGCAGCCATTCTTTCAATCTCAGACGGTAGTCCCTTGGGACTTCTTCTCTCTGGCTGCCCTCCCTTCCTTCCTGACCTTCCCAATCACCCGACCAGCACACTTCCGCTACCCATCCCTCCCGGTCTCCACCCTGCCATTACCTGGAGAACTGTAATAGTCGTTCCCTAACGGCATTGGCGCTATGGAAGTTGTCGAGCGATTGCGTAGTTGATTTCCACCTATGCGAGAGCTTCAGTTGGAAGTGCATTCTGAATTGTTCAACTCTCTCTTCCCCTTCTACCCATGCCTGATCCAAAGTTAGGACACAACGCTGCCACCACAACACCCACAAGATCGTTCTTCAAGATAAATGAAACATGTTAGACACGACGGTGCTGTCTTGGAAGGGTGGGTAGTATCCCATCAGGATGGCCCGCCAATCCCACGACCATGGATGCCTCGAGACCATTTGCCGCCACACCCTACCCCACCGCCTCCAGGTCAAAATTGTTGTTGGGCATTGCAGAAAAATGTGTTCAATTATCTCTGCTCTTTTCCTAACCGGGAAGCCCAACAGGCAGCTGGAGCACCAAGGGAGCGCACGACCTTGTTGTTCCAGCCGAGAGTGATTAATAAGCCAATCATTCATTTTATTTATTTATTTATTATTTTTTACACAAAACCAAGCTCCATCTATTGGTGGGGAGCAGCACCTGCTGGAAACCGGGTCCAGCGTCCCATAGATACAATCATATCTTCACAAATTGGCACAAACTGGGAACCGGGCCCAGCATCCCATAGCGAGTACGTTCAGAAAACTTCATCAGAAAATTTCATGGAAATGAGACGAAGAACTACTGGAAAAATCTAATTGGCCTAAGGATGAAACTTTAGGAATTGAGATACAGAGGCCATTACCCGGCTTTGGCTCGAAGAATTGGAGCTACTTTAGAATTCAGGAACGACTCAGAAAACCCCTCCATCAACCCACTTTACCCCCCTCCGTCAAGACTGACTGCAGCGGAGCCACCATCTCTGCTGCCGCTATGCCATACTCCCATCCTGCCAGCTAGCCCCCTCACTGGTTGGACACGTGATAACCCACCATCTTCTCCCACACTCCTTATTTTCTTTTTGAAGTACCTAAGAACTCTTACCGTCGCTCAAGAAGCTTGAGAATAGGCTACAGAGGTCCTACGATTGTTCCCAAACCCTCGAAATACCACACCAACCCTTCCAACGTACTCCAAAACTATCGTACTTCCTGCCTATCTCTTCTAGGTCTCACACCCGCACTTTCTGTTGGGTTACAGGGCAACGCGACTCACCCCAGCTCCGACCATCGTCGTCCCGGCAGCAACCCTTGGTTATCCCGTGGAACGCCCACCCCAAGACATCCCCAGATCTATCGACCAGACCTCATGCTCCTGCATCGCAAGTTACAGGGCAACACCCCAGCACCGGTCAACGTCGTTCTGGCATCGAACAACCACAGATCACTTAGTATAACAACATTGAAACCACCTAAGAAGATTTAGTAGGGATCCCAAAGTCCTAAAAAACATTCCCAGGACCACTAAACACCCAACTCTTTTTGGGACATTAAAATTTTTTTAGAGAAATATAAGAGTGGGGGGGCAAGACTTAATCTGCCTACTATCGTAGATTCCCCGTTGCAACAGATGGGGTGTCAATCCAGGCTTTCAGTCCTCGTACTAGAACTCACTTGATCTCATACCCCCTTCTGCTAGGGTAACAGGGCACCACAACCTTCCCCAGTACCGATCAACCTAGCTCTGACGGACAAGGAGGTACCTTCCTCCCTCGACAATTCCCTTAGCGGCAAGCCCCTCGCAGGTTACAGGGTCAAAACCCCGGGGCCAACTAGGTCGGACGATCTGGTTATGCC